GAGCTTGAGGGGCAGGATGTTCAGAACCACACTAGAGGCGGTTTAGCGAATCACAACACACTGAGCCAGCTGACCAATCACAGCCCATCGAGTATTTCTGAGGGAGGGGCTTCATAAAAACAGGAAATATTCGAGGCATTTGTTAGAGAAGGGACAGATCGGTGTGGAATAAAGGTAAATTATGTGAAAAATAATGTGCTTTTTAAAAAAAACGAAGCATGAACACGTTAGACTGCACCCCATAAACACAATCAAGCCTAGAAAAAACCCCAGTCAACCACCCCTTTAAAAAAATACACTACGAAGCCACTCGTCATTCATGTCAATTGCTTTAGTTAGCAAAAATGTAAATGATTTTCATACATGCTGACTTTTAAACCATGTTTACACAGAAAAAAAAAAGTGAATTACTTTTGTCTATGTAGGTGCAATCCAAATATAAATAAACAAAATCAACACAAGTAATTGCTTTTTTGCTAATTGTTTTGCCAGCACTAAACTAGCACTAACATGCATAAAGTATTCTGAACCAGCATGGAAATATATGATGTTCTGAGCTGGTCTTTTCAGGGTTTTCATGCATTTTCTCGTGCCGTTATTATAAATAATTCAGTGATATAATTCTACTTTGTAACTCAGTTGTAAGGCACAGTTTGATTACACATAAAGTTAGGTGTCAGGACTTTTGACCTAATATGCTTGTCTGAGGCTGACACTAAGGTTAGTGATAAATGTTTAGTTTTAACTATACAGTAATAGTTAAAGATTTATTTTTATATATTATAAAACATTTCAACATTTCTTTAACACACAGTTACAGATGGCTAGGATATGAACTGACTCAAGAACTGGCCCCGATTACATGGTGTGACAGTGAGCCGTGCAGGTGAGTGACATTCAACACAGAGAGCGACGCACCTGAGAGGGATTATTCATTAGCACCGTGACGTCACGCTGGGGTGAATAGAGCGGTGAAACGGAGCTGTTCACTCGCACAGGTGCTTAACTCCGATACTCCACCAACATGAAGGCCATGAAAGCAGCATTTCTCATGGGTGAGTAGAGGATCTATTTTAAGGATTAGTGAGCTTTTAGCAGTTCGGTGCTTCATTGATCTGGGAAGTTATTCCAGATGGAGTTATTGAAATTGATTTCTCGTGTGTGTGTGTGTGTGTGTGTGTGTGTGTGTGCCTGAACATTTGTCAGGCGTTTCTATATTGCTCTTGGAGTGAAACAGGGTCTAACATAAAAGTGGAATCAAATTGATCTGTTCTTACTTAAGTGTAAGTGCGATAACAAGTGCAATACAATTTACTTTTGAAAATAAAAAAATAAAGTGTAATATAAATAAGGGGGGGGGGGCTATTATTTAAAAGTTGTGACACTGACTTCAATTCCTTTGTACAAATGACATATTCTCTTTCTTCCATCAAAGCTAAAGATGCTCTTTAAAACATTCTCATAATCATAATGGATAATATGCATCATGAGGTTTTGTCCTACCTGCTCAAGTGTTGCTTTGATTAAAGCAAAAATGGGAAACATTGCATATATTCTTGTCAGGTTTTCACTCAGTTTGTTATGCTAATGGAAAAAAAATAGGAAAGAATATTTTCAAAGAAAACATTTTTACAAAACTTTTGGAGCCTAATGGCTTTGAAAAGCGTGAGACTATGTAGTAAATATTGTGTGCGTCTACGCTGAACAGGTAGATTGCCATTTCTCACTGCATTAAGCTGATCTCAGGACGAGCCAATTATGAATGTTATTTTCCATTCCAGTGTCTCATTTGCTGTACCAGCTAGTTTGCATTGACACATCGAGAACTACAGACTGCATTTTGCACATGGATGCTTGTGTTTCTCCACACGTCTGCAGAAGCGAACAGGCTGTTCTCAGAAATATCTGTCATTTTAAAGGTACAGAATTCTTATTTAAACTTCTATGAGTGCAACCAGTTGTTTTTTGTTTAATGGGATAGGACCAGGGGTTGGCTGGTCGCACTGGGTAAACTGCTCTCACAAAAAAAATGTACAAATTGAATGTTTGCCCTCTTGATCCATACGACCTGATTCTGTCAAGGCATTAAAAATTAAAACCTTTCAAGGTGAGGGCAACTTTTCAATTTGTCACAAAAGAGTGTGAGTGGGGGCGGTCGGCACACTGATTTCAAGGTTTCGGGTGCCACGTGGAGTGTAATATAAGAATAATGCATAATTTATAGCAAATTATTTCTATATACGCAGACAAAAATACATAAAACAGCCCCACTATATATGATTTTTCCCACTTTAAATCCACCATGCTGCCATTTCAACTGAGCTGGGTTATCTTCATTTTGACAAAGATATTCAACAAAGAAAATGCTGTCAGCAATACCTGTCTCTTCTACCTTGTGAAATGTCTCATCACTGTGTTGGCAGTAATTGGATTTAAGCGCAATAGCCTTGAGCAAACAGCATGACTCAAAGTGAGACTGTATGTCCATCCAGGGAAGAAGAAAGGTCTAGCTTGAGGGGACATTGAAGTTTGTTGGTAGTGCCTGAATGCAAGAAAGAAAGAGAGAGAGAGAGAGAGAGAGAGAGAGGGAAGAGAGAGAAAACACACTGGCCTCAGGGAAGCAAAGGATATAAGCAAACAATATATGAGATCATCAGTCCATATTGACATTATGCTATTGACTGTCATGTTGATACATTTTAACATGAGACCATAATAACCGTTTTGGAAAATGATGAAAACTTTAAAATTTATAGATAATTATAGACATTTTATGCTTCAATTTAAGGACCAATTAAAAGATTAAATGCTTTATAAACAATCACATACAATAGCCATTAACTTCAGCTATTAAAATTTCATGCACACATTGAGACACAGATGTATAGAGTTCACTCATTAAAAGCTGATGGTAAGCTCATGTCAAAGCAGCGACGTTGAAATTGCCTACAAAACTGATAAGAAAAAACTAAGAAGAAACATAGTTATTTCAACAAAAAAACATCAAATTTGAAATGTAACGCAGGGAATTCTGAGAATGTCAATTTACGGTTATTCACTGTAAATTATACTGTCTTTTTCACTTTCAAAAATGGTATACTACCGTAAAATTAATGTCCAATACATGTAATGTCCAATACAGTTTTTCACCGTATATAGTAGGGGAATTTACCGTTAACCATTTAACATGTTTTTACTGTAGCATTTTTACAGTCTTTTACCGTTAAATTCACGGTCATTTTTTACAGTGTAGTAAAGGTTGCTTTGCTGCTGTCTCTTCTCATTCCTGTGGAAAGATGGAGACTGCCACATGACTGACGCAAAGGTCTGTAATGCCACTCTTCAGATGATGTTAAGCCGCTCACCTGCATTGGGACAGTGTGTGTGTTCTGGGTCGGATCCATGCAGCACTCTACAGCAGCTGTACTCTCAGTGCCAGCATCATCAGGGTATACCCCACACATTAAGTATTGCAATATCAATAATGCAAATATGAAAAAAGCTAGGTTCTACATCTCTAGCATGCTGCCAATTACCACAGCCAATTTTTGCCATGCAAAAATTGCATGCACAGTAACATGCTAAAAGGGATAGTAATTATTATTATTATTATTATTATTTTATGTGGAATACAGAAGTGGAGATTTTGAATAATCTTCATTAAGTTGTTTTTCATGCAAATCATAAAAGTATTATAAAAGTTCCTGTAATGTTATAAAAGGTGTGATGCATATGTCACTGTCATTTTTAATTTGAAATAATTCTGTGCTTTGGCAAAAGGAACGATTGGTAACACTTTAGAATAGAGAACACTTATTCACTATTAACTACAACTTTTCTATCAATCAATTCCTAATTTGCTGCTTATTAATAGTTAGTAAGGTAGTTGTTAAGTTTAGGTATTAGGTAGGATTAGGGATGTAGAATAAGGTCATGTAGAATAAGGCATTAATATGTGCTTTATAAGTACTAATAAATGGCTGATATTCTAGTAATATGCATGCTAATAAGCAACTAGTTAAGAGACCCTAAAATAAAGTTTTACTGAAAAATTATCAGTGAATAAGAACTTACATACAGGTTTGCAATGACATGAGGCAGAGTAAATGCCAACAGAATTCTCAGTAAACTATTCCCATATTGTTTCCCAGCTAAAAAAAAAAACAGCAACCTGAGGCAGAATGGCAAGCCAGAGATCACAAAGGACATGGTCAGTGGTGGCTTGTCAGGGAAGGCAAGGGAGGCACATCCTACACAAAATTTGACGTGGAAAAAAATGGAAGAAGTAGCTTACAATTTAATGTTAATAAAATCTCAAGTTATTAACTTAATGTCTTCAGAATGTGTATTTCTTTATTGTAACTTCATCGTTGCCAACCATAACATATTACTGAAGTCTGAATCCCCTGTGTTTTACCGCTGTTATTCCCCGTGAATGTGGATAGAGAATTGGTTTATCAACCAATCACCGTGGAGACGTCAATTACGTTGTAAGATTTGATCGCCAACAAATTTACAAAGCTCCATTTCGAGCAGCAGCTAAAATCAAAAAAATGAAGGAAGGTCAACCGACCGAAACGCGCTGTTTTACAACTGAATTATTTAGCAATACCGAGTGGCTAATGGATTTTTCTTCAAGTAATAGGTGAGTGAAATTTTTAATTTATTGTCTTGTTGTATAAGTAGGCTATAATGTAATTTTCGTACATAAACATGACCAAAAGAAGGCTTTTACTAAGCAGTTAAGCATAAATAAATAAATAATAATAAAAAGCTACAATTGAGTGTGCCTCCTCTATTTTAACATCCACAAGCCGCCACTGGACATGGTAAGTTCTTAGTCTGTTTGAGCACCAAAGCCTTTTGTAAACTCATAATTTTATGCATGCTGTGATTCCCTCATTGTACACTCTCATACCCTCAATCCAGTACATCACACCAACCGATCCTGTCTTGAAGAGATAGTGGCTTGTCTTGGGGAGAAAGCCTGTAACAGCCGGATGGTGCCATTTGTCCAGGAGTGCAATGCTTACCAATGCAACCCCAGCCAGTGCAGAGAGGGACTGAGGCAGTTCTACTCGGCTCTTCCTCACAATGTGGCTGAGAAACTGGTGTTCTGCGACTGTGACAGGGAAGACCAGGAATGCCAGCAGATGAAGGCCTCTCTACACTCTGGATCCTGTGTGAGTGACCAGTCGCAGACACCCTGGACCTGCCTGGAGGCTCTGGACAGCTGCTCTGAAGATGTATTGTGCAGGTTAGCCCTGAACATTGATGGCATAGCATTGACAAAACTATTTGCAGTAGGATATGTTTGTAGAACATCATTTCTATCAACCAGTTATAGCCCAGGTCATTTTTTTGCGAGGCTGCATTTGTGCTTAACTGGTTTGGGGGGGAAAATCACATTCTTCCTCTTAGGAAGTTTCCTTTGGCACTATCAACTTTGGCTTTTACTGCTGCTTTGGAACAGCATCTATTGTGGTGAGCGCTGAAAGTAGTCAACTGGTCAGTTGTACGAACTAGTCAATGAGTGAATGAGAAGGTACAAATTCACACAAATCCACCACAAATTAGCTAAATTGTGAAATACTCAGAGGTTGAGTGTGTGTTGGTATAGATGTGCTGTTCCCCAGATGATGAAGCTGGTTGACCATAGGGTCTTACTCTTTCCGGTTGACTGGAGAAGTTTTAGGTAACTAGTTAAGTGGCATTGTGGGAACACTGGCACCAAAGATTTATACAGACTGCTGCTGATAAAAAAAACAACTCTTTACTATTCACAGGCAGACATTTAGCAGGTACCTGTCCAAATGTTTTGGGGAAAAGGAATCTGCGTATGATACGACCAGTGAATGGCTAAGTCGTCTGGACCCCGACTTCTTTCTTGGGCACGACCTCCAATGCAGGGTGGCATTTGTGGAAACAATGGGTTCAATACTTCATAATCCATGCACTTGTGATGGATTACATCATCATGATCAATATAAGTGCAATGAGCTGAAACACATTTTCCAAGACAAGTCCCTCTTCAGTAAGTACTTTCACAAATTAAAAGGTTGTTGGCCAGTTTAACTACTGTGCATTTGGGTAGTCTCATTCTGATTGATGTATTCTGATGTAACCATTCAAATCATAGCGCTCTCAGGGACCAAAGAACATTTCCGACATGGAGGAGAATCCTCTGAATTAAACACTGGGCAACAGCCAACCAGTGAAACAAGCACTGGGCAGCAGTGGTTAAGTGGTGAAAATGTCCGACATGGACAATTTGATGATTCAAGCAATGGGCAGCGACCAACCAGTGAATCAAGCGTTAAGCAGCAATGGTTGAGTGGTGAGTTGACTTACTTAAAATGCACTTTTCCTTTTTCATTACATTATTGCTGATGTAATTAAACGTATCATCTTTGTTTACCAGATCAACTGTTTTACCTACTGATATATATCTCTGCTTTAATGGTGGTGGTATTATTCGTGGTCAGCCTTGTTTTGCACAGACTGTGGTAAGTTGTCATTAGTGTAATGCATACCAAATTATGTAGATGTTTCAATAATGTTTTAATGGCTTTTCTTTTAGGAGAATTCACAACGCTGCTAGTAAAACGACTTTTGAGGCCCATCAGTCAAAGTCTCTGATGTTGTCATCTATTATTATTTGAGCAATGTGAAGTGGCAGTGATACTTATGATCCTTTGCACATTGTAGTTACATCTTTCACTGTGAATTTTAAATATTCTTATAAATGTATTTAATATTCTAAATATATTTCATTAATAACCTTTTGCTTTCTATCAAGTCACAATTGAGGTTTGCAAGAATGGATTGTTTCTGCTCTGACTGATGTATTATTTATATTGGATGAAAAAAGAAATTGTAGGGCATAACTTGCTTTTATCCACATGTTATTGACAAGATATATTGGATTATTATTATTATTATTTAAAAAAAAAATCAAAATTGTTGTCATTTGGTATTATTGCCATAAGAATGTTTACTTGGAAGGTGTCAAAATATGAAGAGTTTAATTTTCCTTAATCATGTGACATATAAGAGGCCATTGTACTGAAGATAAATATATGTATAGTAAGTTTCAGACCTCACTGCAAAAATAAAAAAATAAAAGCTTGTAGTTGATGAGAATGATGTAATAAGTGTAATAATACTCTCGATGTGCTCTTTCATGTTACACAATATCATTCAATATTTTTTGCAATGATTTTGTTTCAGGGCATAAACTATAAATAAAGTCTCAATGAGCAACATTCAGCATCTCTGATGTCAGTTCTCTCATTTAATTATAAGTTGTGGAAGATGGATAGCCAACATGAGGAAAGCCTCTGATAAGAGGACATGCTCTTGTCTTCTTCAGCCCATCTGATATTCATCATAGTGCATCAGGCTCTCTCGTCTCCACTCCTACTGACACTCAACACCTCAATCCAGATGTTTTTAAGTCTAATGATGTGTTTCCTGAACCCCAGTGTCAGGACCACACTAAATCATCATTAGGAACTTTACCACAGACACTGATGAGACATTTCAGCAAAGTAGTTGTCTTACCCCTCGTGGTTAAACTTTTATCACACAGAATTTAGCAGTGTTGAAAATTAACTTTTCATGTTTACACCACTCATAATTTTATATTTTTCACAAATTGAAGATTGCAGATTATTATTTTATTACAACAAAACACTGTACATATTTCATTAGGATGTGCTTAGGTAGCCTAACATGTTTACTTTATGCCTGTGTATACAATGTATTATAATACACATTCTAATGAATTATATTTTTCAGAAATGTATAATACATCCTAATAGGTAATCTTACAGTATCTATTCATGGTTACACCTTTTAAGAGATTAATGTGGTATAACATATAATACAACAAGAAAATGGGTGTAGTTTATGTGTTTTGTACTCCTTATTTATACATATATATACATACATATGGACAAAAGGATTGGGGCACACCTCTTAATTACTGAATTCAGGGGCCTTATTTATAAATTGCACGTACACACTTATTAGATCATAAAGTGTGCAAAATCCATGACAGTGTTCAAATTTATTACAGCAGTTTTTGATGTGAAAAAGTGCTGAGGAGTACAAAGGGCCATACAACACACACATTCATAAATATTTGCTTTCAGTTACATAGGCTATTTTTGTCACGATACGCTGCCAGAAGGAACGAAGGAGCCGTGGATAAACGAAACTGTCATTTATTGAATCCAACACACAGGGTAAATCCACACTTGGAAGGAAAGGAAGACACACGTACACAACTGTTAGACCCGACAAAGGAGGAACGTACAGAAAGGAACTTAAATACATGACTAAATGAGGCAATTGGGAGGAACACAGGTGACCAGAATGACTAATTAAGAGACATCAAGGACAGGAACAGGAACAACCAAATAAGGGCACATGAGGGAGAAACTGGGTCACGGGGAGCACATGGGGATCAAAACACAAAGACAGAAGGCGCGTCGCGCCGTAGAACCAGCAGAGGGAGGGATGGGTGGGAACTGGGAGGAGGCTCAGGAGGAGGACGGACACCCGAGAGGGGACCGGCAGACAGAGTCCAGGGAGGTGACGACGGAGGGAAGAGCCAAGGAGGAAACAGGAGGAGCCAGGGTGGATCAGACGGAGGAAGGAGCCAGGGAGATGACAGGAGGGACTTGGAGCATGCGGCGCCAGGTGGGACCCAGGCCACAGCCATAATGGCGACCCACGGTGGAGCCGACGGAGGGAGGAGCAATGGAGGAGGAAGGGCTGACGACTCCAGGGGGCCAACCGACTGCGGCGGAGCAGGTAGTGGAGGAGCCAGAGGCGGGGACGGAGAGCCAATGAGCCAGGGCAACGGGGAGGATCCGGAGGGCCAAGGCGGAGCAGATGGCTCCGGCGACCAAAGCGGAGGCGGGGATCCAGAAGGCCGCGGTGGAGCTGGAGCGACAGAGGACTGAGGAGGAGCCGATGAGATGGAGGAGCCTGACAGAGCCGGAGGGACGAGGCACAGTCAGAGGAGTGGAGTCCCGAGGCGACAAATGATCGACGACAGACCAAGCGGAGCCGGAACGACGAGGGAGCCCGGTGGAGCCAGTGGACTGATGGGCCATTCGAAGAGGAGGGAGCTAGGAGCCATGGTGGAGCCACTGAGGACGATGGAGGATGGCAGACCCGCGGAGCTCGCACTGTACTGATGGTGGGCTGAGGGCGAGCAGAGGGGCTGCCAGATGACAGCGGTGGAGGAGACAGGAGTGGGTGGGTGGTCGGGCATTTGTGAGCCTCCGGGCTCTCCATGCTTAACTTGGGAACAGGAGCTCTCTCTGGGCTGGATGTGGAAACAAGAACGGGAGGGACAGAGGTCACCGATGGAGGAGGGAGGAAAGGGGGCAGGTCGGTAAAAAAATAAATTAAGTCTCTTTCCACTCTTCCTTTACCCAGATCCATAGACAGCTCTCCCTCAGCCATGGTGCAGGCGGCGGAGCTCCTCTCCACGCTCTCACTGTCCATGATGCTCTCCCCCGTGGCGAGCTCTGTAGCCAGCTCTCGCACCTGGTCTGACATCACAGGCTCGGGCTCCGGGGCAATCCTAAGCACTGTTGCTCTCTCTGGCGATGGCTCGTCGGTCGCCGCAGGCTCTGGCTCTCCTTCAGCGGTGGACTCGGGCTTAAGCTCCACGCAGCGGGTTGATGGTGGGCTGGGATCTGGGTCTGGCTGTGTTCTGGAACGAGGCAGTTGGGAGGAACACAGGTGAACAGAATGACTAATTAAGAGACAATGAGGACAGGAATAGGAACGGCCAAATAAGGGCACATGAGGGAGAAACTGGGTCACAGGGAGCACATGGGCAGCAAAACACAAAGACAGTCAAATCCTGACAATTTTAACGCACACATTCATACATTTTCCTATTATATTCATTTATGTTATGCAGACATTTATACATTTTGCTCTTGAAAAAATTTATTCAAAGTATAAGCTACATTTAATACTACATAAAATAAATGTATGTAAGAAGAAAATGCATGTATGTCTAAAGAAAATTGGCTATGTGTATGTAAGATAAGAATGTAGCCTATGTGTGAGAGAGAGCATAGTGGAAACGGAAGATTTATGATGGAAACGGAAGACAGGTTAGGCGCAATCAGGACAGGTCCTGAGGTAGATGAGGCGGCAAGCTGTTTTTTTTTTTTTTTTAATAAATAAATAAAAAATATCATTAAAAAAAATATCATTTTGAAAAGGTTATATCTTTGTCCTTGTCCCTTGAGCTAGTTGTGACTGAAGGCACGGGCGCAGCCTCCACCGTGTTGCCATATACACTTATTTCAGGGTTCCCATGGGTCCTTAAAAAGGCTTAAAAAGTCTTACATTTAGTTGCATCAAATTTAAGTCCATAAACGGTATAGTCATAAAGTCTTAAAAGTTACAATAAATTATTAATTATGATTTCAAGAGGTCTTAAATTTGGGGACGAAAAGACAGATTGCGTCAGATTAATGTGACGATTAAACTTCAAAAGGCTGTGATTTTATTGATTAAATATGATCGCTGCATGTTTCAAGGTCAGGTGCTGCACTGCTTTGTATACAGCCGATACCGGGGAAACCGTTGTATTTCTGCCGTTCCGAAAGCGCAACCTGCTGGCAGAGAATGAATGTGCAGTTTCAATAACCCTGTATGCTGTTTTTGTTCAGACCAATGTGAAAATCAACTAATGTTTTTACGCAGCAAACACACAGAGTAGAACTGGTGGATCGACAAGAAGATAATGCATTATAAAAATCTAAACAATTAACACAATAAAATATATGATTTGTCTATTTAAACAACTGTTATCAATCAATTATTATATTAATTAAATAACATATAAACACATTTTACTGTCTTAATTGTATAGTTGTGTTAGGATGAGCTGAGCAAGTCTTGCATGTATTTCCTGGTTCGAGAGTGACTTCCTGCTTAAAGAGGAAGTAATAGATACCAAAAAAAAAAAAAAAGATGAGACATGAACGTGACTAATATATATATATATATATATATATCAGTGGCGAGCGGTGACTTTTTTAACCGGGTATGCTGAGTGATAAGACCCCCCCCCTATCGGTTTTTAGGACACTCAAAAGGGATCACAGATGACAAATCTGAAGACAAACCTGATGACACGTGTCGATTTAAAAGTATGCACATTTCCTACCTTATTTGTAAATGAAATTCATCTCCAATCCTTCTTCTATCGTTTCAGGTTTATCCATTATTATTCGAATGCAAGAAAAATATAGCTGGTTTTCCAAGTAAAAACCGCCAAATATGGTTTGGTGACCGTGATTTCACCAAGTACAACATGTTCCTGGATCAACATCCTTGTTGATCCTGGAACAACATTCCGATTAACCAATCAGAATTGAGGGATAACTTTTTAGGAAATATCTGTTTTAGGCTTATGATCAGGGTTAGGTGCTTCTACACCCTTGTTAATCATCTATCATTTCACACTGAATTTAGGAATAAATTATGGGTAGGGGTAGGGTTAGGTTTAGGGGTAGGGATTGGGTTTAGTCTATATTTTTGGACATTAATGTTGATCCAGGAACATGTCTTACTTGGCAGAATCACTGCGACCATAAGGTTTACACGTTGTTATGTTATG